AAAAAAAAAAAAAAAAGGGAAGAGAATCGACGTCGGCCGATTGCCCGTAATGGACCGCGCGCGGCAATTGCGATCAATTGTTGCCTGGGTTATGATTAATTTTGATTAGTTTTAAGCGGCGTTAACTCGCGCGATGCGTCGGCCGATTATTCGCGGCGGACCTTATAAGAACTGGATCGAACCGACGACCGTCTCCCTCGAAACGAGAGAACGTCCGTCCTCTCTCGGTTGGGACACTCTCGCCACTACTCCACGTCCCGAGCCTCTGGTTAATCAGCCGCCACTCACATAGGCTTATATTTTCTGCGTCACGTCGGCCCAGACCGCCCCCATACCCGGGGCCCCAGCCAATCCTGCTTCATGCGAGCGCGGTGATGCTGCCCCTCATGGTCCAGCGCCGTCGTTTCCCTCGCCCCACCGCCGCCGCGGGCCCCCATCGTCCCAACCTCTTTCCTTGACTTGCGCGCAAAAAAAATGTCTCTCGATCTATTGGCGCGCGGACGGGGGTGCGGATGAATATACGGAGTACGGACATTCGTGCGAGGGGGGTTAGGCACTCGTGGGAATAGAAATAAGAGAATCGCTCTCACTTCGTGGAAGGTAAACGCGTTTGTTTCTTCTCCCATTCTGCGAATCCCCGACGATTACCCTTTAAAATACGTACGCGAGACTGAGACAGAAGTTGGAAATTAAGAGAAATTAAAAAGGCATGTTATTTTTAGAGAATTTTTCGAGAGATTTTAAATAATTTAGAATTTGAAGTTATGCTATATAAGATGTGCCAACGAAGCTTAATTCTTTTTTCCTCTAATTGCAGTGCACGATCAAAATAAAGAAATCTTCTTATCTCGAGCCCACCATGAATGCACACTCTTCTCCCTCTTGTATTGCTTTTCTAATAGACCAAACTTTTCAGACGCAGCATAGCAACGAAGTGCAAATCTCCTGTCTATTACCATTTCTATCAGAATCTTTTCAAGATGCTCTTTCCTTTCCGATTAAATTATATAAACACGCAGCAGTTCATCTTCCCGGCAGCACATCTTCGTGTTTTTCCTCATCTTCCGTTTCTTCTTCATTTCTTCCTTCTCCATTCTCCAATGAAAGATGAATTAGAAACCGCTTATTCATATAACAAATTCTTCTTATCGAGCAACCTGACGAGGTGAAGAAAATCGGTACCGCGAACGAGAGATCCGCACGTTGATCGATCGCTACGCGACGATCGATCGAGATCGCTTGAAAGGTGTATCGTAACGGTATCCTCATTGTCCCGAGGAAGAGATCCATGTCTCTGTTGGTCGGCAGTTGGCGTGGCACTGAGCCAAGCACTCTTAAGCGCGAGCTCAATGAAATCAGCAATCGCCAGGAATTGCCTCGAATTGGCCCAATCAAACTACCCCCCGTTCCCTGTACGTGTACGCGCGTATATTAACCGTTAATTTTCATCGTTGATAATTAGTACGCGTCTGTATACGCGCCGATTTCATCGTCGCTCCCCGCTCTGATCGTCCATTACTCCGATCAACCTCAATCATCTCGGCATTACCTTCTTGACGCTATTGTCTCATTATTTTCCTTATATTCGTATACGAATTATTGATTCACAATTCACATTATTTTTCATCTATTCTCTTAGTTTTTTAACTGTAGAAGTGTTAAATGTATTAATTTTTTTTATTAACTGTTTTATTAAGAGAGACAGTTTTAAGGTGATAATAGAAAATTCATCATATAGACAAAAAAATTAGTCTAGATTATATATTCTACATTTATTAATAAGTACATATAAATACAACAATAGATATAATCAACAACAATACATATAACAACATAATAACAATAGATATAATTTAGAAGTGTGATAATACTTGATGATAATTTATAAAATATACTCAAATTTTATCGATCGGTTATTATAATCATATTAGCTTAGAGATGTGCAAAAAATATATTTAAAATTGATATCGTATTCCTTTTGCTTTTCCTTTTTCTTTAAAATTTCTTTAAAATTTTTAAAATTAAACTGTTATATTATTTCTTTATTTTTAATAATTATACATTATTGAAATAAAATATATATCTTAAATTATTTTTATTTTAAGATATTCATTTTGACAACGTAATGTTCCTTGACTTTTTCGACACGAAGATTATGATGACACGAGAGAGAAGTATGGTAATTAATATAAAATTCTTAGGGCAAAGGTGTGATAATGCGGGTGACTACGTCATCGTTCCATTATTTTAACCATCAACCATAACGCGACAGATGTTTATCGATTTAAATATCTAGACACTATATCAATTAATTTCTAATCGTTTTTATCTCCATTTATAATTCCGGCGAATAAACCATAGTACTTTTCAAGATATAAATTTTGTTATATATGTGTATACATTTCTTAAAAGTACTACATTCATACTAACTTCTTCAAGTATAATTTATTATGATATAATACTTCTAAGTATTATATCATATATTAAACATATTATATTATATTTTTGGCAAAAATTGTTATTATTCCTAGAAATTTTTAAAAATATTATTATTTTTTCATCAAGATTCTTTATAGATCTTGGCAAAAGTATTCTTTCTCTCTAGATCATATTAGCGAGCGTTAGACCCGGGTTTTATATCAGACCTTTTAAGATCAGTTATATTCTCGTATAGACTTTTAAGCAGATCAATTGCATCTCTGGCTCATACAATGGACGAGATGTTTCGATTGGGAGACGCCTCCCGCGGCGATTTAATTTCCAATTTCACGATGAAGCACAAGATTGGACCTCATGCGGGATATCCAAGGACGTTTTCAGGATATTTCTGTGCTGTCGAAGAGGATCGAGGGCCTCAGGGAGATTGGTGTGGCAGCGGCGGCAGCGGCCGCAAGAGAACGAAGAGAAGTCGGTAACTTAACTGGCCTAAATGGGTTTAACTCGATGTGATTTTGCTGGCGAACCACTAAATTGAACGAATACGAACTAAACTGAACTCAACTAAGCTAATCATATCACATTACTAGCGTTATTAGCCGAGCGACGATATAAGTGAAGGTCCGGTGAGCGCCGGACTGCAGTGTAACGCAGCCTCCTGCACTGACCCTCCGTATCCGCGACTTTCTCCCGCATTCGCGCACCCACCATCTTGTTTCTCGCGAGACACAAACATGACCTACATGACGAAGGTGTATCCGTTTGCCGTTCCTCGCCGTTTCTCGGTCGGAACGGGTGTTCAAATTTTCGAGACGGCTCGAGAGAGTGAGGCCGAGAAGGATCGTTGTGAATATCCGCCATCGCGTTTCCGCGATTCTTGCGCCGCGACAAACCGGAAGTGGGCACGCCGAGCGCCGACCGCTGGGTCATCAAACGCTCGCGAGACTCCATGTTGCTTCTGTAATGTAACGTAACGTGACGATCCGCGAACCGCGGATTTTATAGTAAAAAATTGCAGTGTATCGGGGTGCATTAAAAATAAAAAGTTACGAAGGAAGATAATCGTTTCCTTTTAAACTTTTTCGAACTTTTTGGAGTTTCTCAAATATCGGTGAGTTTGTCAAGCGTTTGGTTGTTCGTGTTCTCCGAGCTTTTTGCATATTCGAAAATTGATTATCTCTTCGAAGAGAACAATGTATACTTCGATCACTTGAAGCTTTTACTACATGATTGATGATTATACGAATGATCGTATTCGTGACGTGAATGAAAGAATGGAACGCGAGAGGGACGAACCGAATGTGAAGTGCCACGAGGAGGAAAATGCGTGATACTCCCCACTCCGTTTGCAACTCGGTTGGACGAAGTTTGAAGAGAGATAAGAAGAGAAAAGAAGACATGATACATTGTCGCCCCTCTACTTTTGCACGGAGAGGGGCAAAGTGGCGCGGCCTCTTCAGCTCCACCTCTTTGTTTCGACTTCCGTCAAATCATCTATTGATATATAACAACATAAATATTATTATATATAAAATTTGTGGTTTTTTTTTCTTTAAATTATTTCCTCTCTTTGTGCAGCACTTGTTTGAGAAAACGACTTTTATAAATTATTTTTATGAAATAAAAATATAAATATATATTATAATAAAGATAATAAAAATTGAGAAAAAAATAATGTAGTAAAAAATAACAGACTTTTAATCTGCAATCTATAAGCTGTGTGTAACTCGTGTGATCTTTTACCATTTATTTAATATATTACACCAATTAATATCTTGAAAATCATACAATTGAATATATTGAAATTAAGTTTCAACATATTGATATACTGAAATATTGTAACTTTGTTTTATCAAATTAATTTGACAAAAGAACAGTTTACAAATTATTTACTATAATTGAATTAGATATATAATAATTTATTATTTGTTATATTGTGTTATATTTATTGCATGTAATTCTTGCAAATTCGTGCAAATTTTGTATAGTATATTTAAAAGATTTATTTAAGAGACGAATTTTCAATTCATTTTGTATTTTACAAGACTAAGTGTTTTGTATAAATTTTTTAAGGTTAAAACAAATTTGACCTTTAAATATGTATTATATAAAAATATAAAAAATATAGAAAAATTTATAAAGTT